CCATAATATCATACCATTACACCATACCATACCATAATATCATACCACACCATACCATTATACCATACCATAATATCATATCATTATACCATACCATACCATAATACCATAACAATATACCATACCATACCATGCCATACCATAATATAATACCATTATACCATACCATACCATACATACCATAATACCATACCATTATATGATACCATACCATAATACCATATCATTATACCATACCATACCATACCATAATATCATATCATTACACCATACCCTACCATAATATCATACCATTCCATACCATACCATACCATACCATACCATACCATAATATCATACCATTATACCATACCATACCATACCATACCATTATACCATACCATAATACCATACCGTTATACCATACCATACCATACTGTTACACCATACCATTATACCATACTATAATACCATACCATTATACCATACCATAATACCATACTATAATATCATACCATTACACCATACCATACCATAATATCATACCATACCATTATACCATACCATACCATAATATCATACCATTGTACCATACCTCACATACCATAATATCATACAATTATACCATACCATACCATACCATAATATCATACCATTATACCATACCATACCATAATACCATGCCATACCATTATACCATACCATACTAGGACATACTATACCTTAATATCATTCCATTATACCATACCATACTAGGACGGCTGTGGCTGAGTGGTTAGAGCAGTCGTCCTCCAATGCAAGAGTTGGGGGTTCGAATCCACCAGCAGTCACGTGCCGAAGTGTCCCTGGGCAAAACACTGAACCCCTCGTTGCCTCTGATGTGTGTCCCATCAGTGTATGAATGTGATAAAGCTCTGATTAGTCTCTTTAGATTGATTTGTTCAATTAGCTTTGTAGAGCTCTTGTAGAGTGCTGTATGAATTGGTAAATGAGGCACAGATTGTAGTGTAAAGCGCTTTGAGTATCTCGATAAGATAGAAAGGCGCTATATAAGTACAGTCCATTTACCATTTACTATAATACCATACCATAGCATTATACCATACCATACCATAATACCATACCATTATACCATAACATACATTACCAAACCAGCTTTATTTATAGAGCACTTTAAACACCCGCAGGACCAAAGTGCTGTACACAATAAAACAATCATACAGTCAGATAATAAAATGATTCAAATGATTAAAAGTCACAAAAAAAAAGTTGTACACATACAGTACAGTATAACTTCATGTTCATCTTTAATTGCTTATTTTCACCACATTTCCAGACTTTTCTTAGTTTGGAAACTGACGATAACAAGGGTAATAGTTTATACATCCCTGTTGAATTCCTTTGTGTCATTTAATCAAAAGGTCAACTTGTGGAAACATGAAGGCAACCCTCCTCACCTGTGAGCAGCAGCAGCAGGACGGCAGCTCTCAGGAGCCCGGTGCTCCATAGAGCCATGCTGGAGCCAAACCCCAAGACCCCTGTCTTTGTGATTCCAGTATTCAGTCCAAAACCAGGGATTCAGGAGCTGCAGATTAACCACAAGTCAGGAAGAAAGCATCTAAAAATCCCACCACCACCGACCCTTTTCGCTCCCTGCAGTCGCTATGTGTCATCTGAGCCCCTCGTCCCACTGCTGCAGCACACAGGGGACAAAACAAAGTCAGGCTCCGGAATTAGTGCCAGTTGTTATGAAACCAGAGAGTCACGGCCTTCGGATACGCCTCTAATTTATTTCAGTGACTTGTGAGCATAGAATCGATCAGATCAGTTTTAGTCTTTTAACATGAAAGCTCAAAAACAGCTTTTGCCTTAACTTTGAGAAAGAGGCATACATATGCAAAAGTTACCATATTTTGACAAAACTTGAAGGTAGTTATCGCAAAGAGAAGAAGACCGGTCAAAAAGAAGGTCCACAAAATTAGAAAAATGTTAATGGTTAATGTGCTCTAAAGGATCTCTGACTCTCAAATATTGCCTGACTATGCTTTTATTTCTCTATTCTACTAAAAGTTCCAACAAAGTTCAATCAGGTCATCTGGACGGTTTATTTTTTTGTTGAGAAGTTTCGTCCTTCATCCAAAGGACTTATTCAATCTGAGGTACCACAACAAACTGTCCCACAAACAGCATTCCCATAGAGGAACAACCAGTTTGCTGGTGATAAGATGGCTTTTGAAGCCCACCCTCTCCCCTGTCGAATCCTCTTAGGCAGCCATAGCCGAAGTGAAGTGAAGTGATGAAGTCCTTTGGATGAAGGACGAAAAGTCTCAATAAAAAAAATTAATCGTCCAAGATGACCTGACTGAACATTGTTGGATTTTTTTTTTTACCTGGATTATTGAGAATGAACCTTGATCTACTAAAAGTTGTTGTTTGTGACATGTGAAAACTCCTAATTATTAAAAAATAATATACATTTTTCACCAAAGGATATCACCATTATTTTATTGGTGCAATGCATTCTGGGGCAATGACGTACATCGGTTGTAGTGGAGACTAAAACACAAGGAGTCAAGGCTAAAAATGTATAACGTGATAATAAAGTTATATTTTGTATTATAGGTCCAAATGACCAAATGCGATTAATTGTGATGTTTAATTTATTAGATCTGGCGCTCACATTAAAGCTGAGGCATGTCTTCATTCTCCTCTTTGTCAACACATTCCGATTCAAATTAAAGAGCTGAATGTCAGATAATGTCCAAAATTGACATTCAAGCTGAATGGAGCTCACACCAGAGCAACCTGTCTGTCATTTACCCAGAAGGCATAGCTGCGTACATAAAATACTGATGTCCATGTGTCAGTCGTTTTATATAAATTATCCAAACAATGAAAAATATGGTGGCGCGATAGGTAGAGCTGTTGCCTCTCAGCGAGAAGGTCGCCAATTCGAATCCCAGCCGGGGGTGTCTTTCTGGGTGGAGTTTGCATGTTATCTCGGTGCTTGCGTGGGGTTTTCTCCGGGTACACCGGTTTCCTCCCACAGACCAAAAACATGCATGTTAGGCTGATTGGTAACTCTAACTCCTCAGGGCTGTGTGTTGAGCCCCCTCCTGTTCACTCTGCTCACATATGACTGAGCACCTACCCATCCAGGCTGTCGTATCGTAAAGTTTGCAGGCGATACAGCGGTGGTTGGATGCATCACAAACAACAGTGAGTCCAGCTACAGGCAGGAGGTGCACCACCTGGAGAGCTGGTGCAGGAAGAACAACCTTCACATCAATGCGAAGAAGACAAAGGAGATGATTGTTCATTCAACCTTTATTTAGACAGATAAGTCACATTGAGTCTAGAAGACTCATTTACAAGTGAGAGCTGTTTAGACAGATAAAAAGTAGTGAAACTGGCCACATGTAAGAATTGGAGGCGAAAAAATTCCTATCAGACTTTTTTTTTTTTCCTGCCTGAGAAGAAAAAACTCTGATATTAAAAAAACACCTCACACAAATAAGCACATAGTGACGTAGGCATTCTGCCGGGGGGGGGGGGG